TAATGTTTTCAGTTAAATAAGTGAATTAAAATGGTAAAACAGTAGAAGAAGCCACTGAAACAGAAAGGTAGAAACCACCTTCACAGCATCTATCCCTTTCAGAAGCATTCCCCTTCTCATCTTAGCACTAAAAGTGGCTGCTGTTGATTTGACTTTGAAGGTCAGGAGCCACCTAGGTAAAGCCATGCCAGTTGGAGGATGGGAGACATGAATCTCTAGGGACTGACCTATTTGTGAAAAAGGAAGAAGGGAAAGGATTATAGTTTACACTAAAACTAAGACTCATCCAGGCTATGTTCCAATTCCCTTAATTATCTCAAATGTCTTTGTACAATTGTTTTATTCTGATCAGAATCCAAAACAAATAAAAAATAAAGAACACACTGCATGTAGCTATAGCTTTTAATTTTCTTGCTTTAAGTATTTTATGGACATTGAATGAACACACAGAAAGTGGTCATGCCTCAAGGGTACCGCTTCACTACTACGTACCCATGGAACCAGCTGCCAGTTTGGGAACAAGAACACAAGCAGCACCCAAGTCTCCACCCTCCCCTGCACCCACCCAAGGCAGCCGACATCCTAACCTCCCCTAGCATAGACTGCTTTACCTGTTTTAAATTGGATGTAAATAGAATCACATGGCATGTGTTCTTTTTGTGTCTGGCTTTATTTGTGAGATTCCTGAGTGGAGTTTACTCTCACTGTTCAGTATAACAGGGCTCCTTCACGGTGCCAGCCTGTAGCCTGCCCATCCCTGGTTGTATATCTAAATAAATCTTCACCCACCAAACCAGTTCCCTGACACTCCAGACCTGGCCTGTGGGGCCAGGGGGAGGGGGGACAGACCCATCAGCCCTTCTCAAACTGCTGCCCCAAAGGCCAGCTGACATTCAAATCCTGGTTAGTTCAGGAGGCGCAGCTCCTCTGGAGTTCAGGAGACCCAGCCTCTCTTGGGTCCTTGTCCAGCTCTGGAGCTCTAAAGGAAGCTGGGTGTATGCATTTTTAAGGGCTGCCATAAAACAATTATCACAGACTTAGTGACTCAAAATATCAGAAGCTTATTCTCAAACATTTTTTGCAGGCTGAAAGTTCAAAGCCAAGATAGCAACATTGGTTCCTTCTGGAGGTTCAGAGAGAGAATCCATTCCACACTCCTCTCCTAACTTCGCTGGAAACCTTTGCCATAGCGTTACTTCAACCTCTGCCTCTTCTTGATCTAGACCTTCCCTCCATGTGCCACCCTTCCCTTCCCATTATGAGGGCAGCAGTCATTTGACTTAGGACCCACCCTAACCCAGGATGAACTCACCTCAAGAGCCTTATCTTTTTTTTAAGCAGATAATTCCATTTGTGTACTTTTTAAAATTTAATTTTGTTTATTTATTATTCCCCTTTTCATTAGTATATGTTTGTAATGCGTAATAAATACATTCATCATGGAGAAGTGGTGCATATACGTATCACACAGCTGGATCCCTTTTATTTCTCCTTCACATCTCCCCTGTCCCCAAATCCCCTTCCCATCTCTACATAGTCCCACAATGATCTCTATTCCCAACAAGGTCACATTCAGAAGTGCTGGCTAGACCATCTTTTAGGGAGCACAATTCAACATACTGCAGGGGGTGAGAGATCTCCTGAGATGCACATACCAAACCCCAATAACCTAACTGAAGTGTGAAAAACAGGTTCTTCTAACTGGACCAGGACCTGGGTGTCACCTCCCCCCAACCCCCAGAGCCACAGCATTGGGCTGAGTCCTTGGAGCACCTGACAAGTGCCAGGCAGTGAGCCATGTGCTATGGGTTGGGACAAAGGAAACCCAGCCTTCACCCCAAGGCAGTTTTGTGGGCCAAGAGGGAAGGAAAGGCTATTCAGGAGCAGTGGTTCTCCATTAGGGTGATTTTGCTTCCAGAGAATATTTGGCCACATCCGAAGATGTCTTTTTTTCTTTTTACTGTCAGAGGTAGGGTGTGTTTGGTATCTAGTAGGTAGAGGCCAGGTGGCCAGGGATTTAGCTCAGTGGTTCTGCCACCTGCCTCGAAAGCTCAAGGTCCCAAGTTTGATCCCTGGTACCAAAAAAAATGAAAAAAACAAAAACAAAAAAAAGCTTTTCAATACATATCAGTTATAACAATCAATGTTAACGGTCTCAATTCATCAATCAAAAGAAATAGACTGGTAGTAGGTAGAGGGCAGGGATGTTGCTAAACATCTTCCTGTACAAACATCCTACAATCCTACAGTCCCCTACAGCAGTGAATTATCCACTCCAAAATGCCACCAGTGCTTCTGTTGAAAAACCTTTCCATAAACACACTCACAGAAACTAGAATCTTATTGATACCCAGAGCCCCAGCGGTGACTCTGCAGCCGTTGACACTCCCTGTTCTGGAGGCTGACAGCCCCTTTACACCCAGAGCCAGGGCCACTGACAGAGTAAGCTTTCCCACCTAGCCCTGCTCTCTTCTCAGGCACAACTGAGAACTGCTCATCCCCACTTCTCTATGTCTACCTGGGTCTTCACTGCCACGTGCTGGATATAGCTGCCCAGGAATAAAGACACTACTGAGGATGACCTAGCATCCTCATTTGACACCAGCTTGCAATAAGCAACTCAGGGCTTCCTAACCCACTCTGTGATCCCTTCCCCACCACCCATGCCCATAGGAGAGATCACTTTCTATATGACAAAATAGCTTATGCAAATATATCACTGGCAAAAGGAAGCTAACATCTGTGTGCCTATGGTTACAAAAACCTTTGGAAGCAGAGAGCCACATATCCTCTCTTTGCATGAGTGTATCTGAATGTGAATATCTAACTTCTGAAAGCATTGATAATTTTACAAGTCAAAGGGGAGGGATCTGTAACTCCTCATTCTAGACAGTGGGAGAATTTTGCTTTGGGGATGGTGGGAAACAAACCCAGGAGTCAGGCCTGAGTGGCCAGGGGTGCAGTGGGGCAAGTTGAAAAGATTAAGTTGAAACTAATATTATAAGAAGTGTTGAAGAAGAAAAACATCAGTAAAGGAGAAGTGCCTTGGTCAAGAGGAAGGGGCAGGTACCAGATCATCAGGGGTTCGGATTCACTAGCTCCACACATCATCTCCTTTACCCTAATTTCTCTTTTGCTCTGGAGCTGGTAACTTGATTTCCATAAACAGAACCCCCTCCGTATTTGAGTCTGACTCTAGCCCTGTAGCTAGGGGTGGGGAGGGAGGATTTGTTCCGACTGTGATGCCTAGCCCTCCTTTCTCAATAAACTTTTTGCTATGGAAAGAAATCTCTTGAATCCCACCTCGTAGGCATAGTCTGTAAATGCTGACGTGAGTGGGGCCTGGGATTATGGCAAAGCAGGCACCAGGCTCCTGCAAGGAGAAATGTGGCTTGTACAAGTGGGGCAGGTCCTAAGTGTGTCCTAAGTGACCAGTGCAAAGGAGAGGAAGTGAGGGGAGTTGTTCGCTCACTTACTCATGCAAAGATACGCAGAATCTTGTGGGTGTGAAGCTCTGTGCTAGACACTTGGTGACAGCTCAGATATCAGTCAGAGCAGTGACTTAGGAAAAACCTCTGGGCAGGGATCCTGGACCTTCTTGGTCTTTCTTTCCTCCCAAACAAAGCCTGTCTGCAGGAATGTATCTAATGCAGTCATTCACATCTTATTACCTTATATACATAGACTCTGCACTTGAACCCATATTTCTAATTATGGAATAAAAGGATTAAATGCCATGTTAAAAGAGTTCAAGAAGGCACACATCTGGTGGAGAAGTTTCTGGCAGACAAGTGGTTCTTCTAATCAGCTATGAATTGCTCCACACAGATGACTATCTATATCTCCTGATACAAGGGAGCCCCAGTGACTGAGAGTTACATAGAGAACTCTAGGTGAAAAATTGGAAGAGGCAGCAGCTGAGCTAGACTCTTCCCCTTATAGGTCTAAGAGTGGTGTATTAGTCCATTGCTATGAGACATCGCTGTCCTGTGCCTCCAAAGCCCATGAAATCCCAGGTTGCACTAAACAATGTTCCCAGATGACGTATAGCCTGGAGTTTCAAGGGCAAAAGAAAATTCATACTCTGATGATTTCTTATCCTGCGCTCTTAAATTCTTCACCTTGCCTTAGATTTCTATCTGTAAAACTGTGCTAAAGCTTAATGTACAGTTCTAAAGGAAACATCACAATTTGATAGAGTTTAATGCAGTGCCTGGCACACACACACACACACACACACACATTTATGTGTAAAATATCACTCCTCCAGTAGGGAAGTGATACCATTTATGGAGGACTTGCAATATGCTAGACAGTGATCCAATGCATTGCATGCCTTAACTTTAACTCTTTCAAAACCTCTGTGAGAAAAATAGTATTCGTATCCTCATTTTATATACAAAAAAAATAAGTCCAAGTGGTTAAGTAACTCCCTCAAGATCACACAGTTAATGGTCAGTGACAGTTATGATGTAATTGTATGCTAATAATTTTAATGTTTGCCTTATATTTCACTGAGGATGGGCAAGTGTTTCATTCATTGTTTTGCCTTTCTGGAACATTTTGGTTGATTTTAGTTGCTTGAGTATAATTCAGTACCATTTGGTTGAGTACAATTTTTCTTTATCTCCTGAATACCTTCCCGAATTCTTGTTTTGGTTTAATAGTCTTTGCAAATCTGTCTTTTGGGTAGTATGTATGGTGTTTCGACATTTATGTTTTAATGACACATAAGGGCTTCAAATTTATAGTAAGGCTAGAACTCATTTCTGGTGAATTCATTCAGGAGAAAAATCATACAGCTAGATCAGGCCTGAGCTTGAGTCTGAAAATGAGGTGTCACTCAATATATTTGTTTTTAAAATGGCACTACTCTTCCCTGGTTTAAATATTAAAAGCAGTTGATTAGAATGACATATTTATCTCTTACAAGAAAAAACAAATATACCAGCTTGGACAGTGTGTTATTTATGTGGGTTTTTATCTGGTTTTTCTTTTAGCTTCAGCACAAAAACCCTGTATTACCTGCTACTGAGAGCCAGGCTGGAGGCAGATGCTGAATACACAAAGAGCGTGTAAAGATTCCTTCAGCCTCATCTTTGATTCTGTCACCAGTGCTAGGCACCTGGTCCTAAGCATCCATGACCATGGAGGAGCTCCCTAAGGTCCTGGAAGTCGATGAGAAGTCCCCAGAATCCAAGGACCTGCTGCCTAGCCAGACTGCCAGCTCCTTGTGCATCAGCTCCAGAAGTGAGTCTGTCTGGACCACCACTCCCAGGAGCAACTGGGAGATCTATCGCAAGCCCATCGTCATCATGTCTGTGGGCAGCGCCATCCTGCTGTTCGGCGTGGTCATCACCTGCTTGGCCTATCTCCTCAGAATGAATAAAAAAACCATTTCAGTCCTCAAGATGACAGGGCCTGCTTTCCTGTCCTTGGGACTGATGACGGTAGTGTGCGGGCTGGTGTGGGTGCCCATCATCAAAAAGAAGCAGAAGCAGAGGCAGAAGTCAAATTTCTTTCAGAGCCTCAAGTTCTTCCTCCTGAATCGCTGATGGTGGCTTGACCAGGAGGAGATATGATGACCAACATCCAGCATCTCCACCTCCTCCATGAGGTGCCACAAAACTAGTGCAAGCAAACTCTCTTCTTGGCCCATGCACCCTGGGAGTGTTGCTGACTGAATCTCACTGGGTTTCTGTCCCACTGAGGGTTCCTTTAGATCCTTCTGTTGCTCTCATCCTGTGCTCCTGTGTCCAATCATCATTCATAGAACTCTCAGCCAAGTTCAGTGGATGCTGGGAAACTCCCTGAAGGGTGAACTATGCTCCAAGGAGAACCTTATGTTTGTACATCCGAGTGTTTGAAATGGATTCCACATTTACATCTTTCCGAAACCAAAGCTGACCAGTGGAAGTTCTTTACAGAGAGGGAAGGCTGAGCTCTGACCCAATAGGTTGGACAGCCCCACCTCCCTTAGCCAGTGAGATAATGACTTACATTTCAAGAGACTACAGTGTCACAAGTATCAAAATTTACAAGTATCAAACATTCCAAAAACTGAACAATGAAGGGAGGTTGGGGAAAGCACTGTCTAAGATGGCACATCTCCCTGGCATGACCCTGGGAGTCACCCAGCTGAGGAAGCTTCATTCTCGATTATGTAGTATCTATAGCAGAGGCCAGGGGTGGGCTAGGGGCTGGGGGTTCATGCTTTCCCTTTGACTTACAAACCCCCTTCTGACTGACTGCTTTTACCTAGGCAATTAGCGAAGGACAAATGCATGTAGTCCCAGCTTCCTCCTTCCATCTATCCTTAACTACCCCTATTTCTAGAGCAGCAAGATGGAAAGCTACAAAGGGATTCTGTATGATTGTTCTCCCCTTCGTTTCCATCAACACCCAAATCGAGAAGATCAATTCCCATATCCAAATGGGTTGAAGGTTTTTAATAACCGGATTCATTTTTTAAATTCTTCTGTTACTCCTGCCCTTGCCCACCAAACAAACAAATATCTGTGAATTTCCCTGCTCTTGTCCAGGTCCTGGGGTGGCAGCAGGCCAGACACAATCCCTTTTCTCATCACTCTTCCGAAAGTGAGACACAGCCAAACCGAATGGCAACTAGAAAGTCCTGTGCTGAGTTATTGTGGTGGTTGTGGGAACATAGGTGTCTAATTCAAACTTGGAAGGGGACAAAGAGTTTCTGGGAGGCCATGTCAACCAAATTGAGGATGAAAGGAAAGGTCAGATTTAGCAAAGAGGGGAAAGGAAACATCAGAGACAGCAAGAACTGCTTTGCATACAAGGAAGCTCAGGGGGAAGAAAGCACATGATAAAATTAGGAATTGTCATGACATCTTCTCTAAACTCCCAGATGTTCCACTTCATCCCCTCTTGGCCTGCTTCACACCTGTTTCCCCAGGTGCCTTATCTGCAGTTTATCCTGGGGCATTCACGGACCTCCTTGGAGGCTGATGTAGGGTCCTCAGAGGGCCCGCCAAGCAGAGTATCCATAAGGTAAGTGCTCCCAAAACGTCCTCTAGCAACTAAGAGGCTGTCATGTGAGAGACAGGGAAAGATTCCTGGGAAAGAGCTACCCAGGCTGCCCTAGACCAGGCCAGAGGCCCAGAGGAAAGGATCTGATGATGAGGTGAGACACAAGAGCTGCATTAGACTCACCCTTGGCTTGAGCTGACTCCTTTTACTTCTCAGCCTTTCTAGGCCTCTCCATGCAGGGCACTCTCTCTCCAAGAGACTTCCAGAAATCTCCATTCCTCATAACAGTTCCATACGCAGAGTCAGAATCCATCCTGGTTTGCTGCATTGTGAGAAATTCCGTAGAGAGAATACTTGTTTCTTGGGATACTCCCTGCCTCCCTACCTAAGAAGCCAGAGCCTGGCATGTTCATAGCCTCTAAGAGCCACCTAGGATGACATATCCATCACTGAGAGACACATCGGTGTGGCCAGGTACTCCAGCCTCCCAGTCCCCTAAACTAGGCAGATCAGGATCAATCTTAGGGCTGTTGCAAGTGCTACATCGCTAATCAGAGCTCTAGTGACTCAAGCAGCAAGGCTCACAGATCATTTCCTTTCTTCCGAGGTGAGCACAGATTAAAGATCAGCCCTTTAATGATGCATTCGAGTTCTGCAATGCCTTCTTACCTAGGAGCACACACAATACGCTCCCAGCTAGCTTGTCTGGAACCCACATTCCCTGTGCCTCCTCTTGCCCATCGGAAAGCTATAGTCTGGGCACAGGTGTGGATGGAGGACCTCTGGAGATTTTACTCTCACATATGTCTTAAAGGAAGAAATTTGGGGCAACCACAACTCTAGAAGGTATCCAAGTTTGGCAATCCTGTGGCAGACTCCAGAACTACCTGCCTCCATTCCTTTTTCCTCAAGTTAGGTTCTAAGCAGAGAAAAAGAAGGAAAAACTTCCAAGGAGAGATCCCCAAACATCATTCCTATAAGGATTCCTCACATGAGTGTGGGCCATGGAATACGCCGAGATCACCCCAAGACAAGACATTGCAGAGACTTTTGCCAAAGTCAATTGTCCCATGAAAGTCTAAGAAATGGCCTACTCTGGAGTGCAGCCAGATTGGGTGGCATGGTTGTGCAACAATGCAACCCCTGCAATGATTCCATCAGTGTCCATGGATCAGAGGACAGGACCAGAATGCCCATCTTCTGCTCCCTGGGTTGTATTGTATTCTGTTTTGGAAAATTTAATCTCACCTGAAGCCTAAAGGAATCAATGTCTTATGGAATTGTGTTCTATTTAACAGTGTCTGCTGTGTTTTCATTCTGTTCCAACAGGAATTCCAAGACTATTCACTAGCTCTCCTCTCCTCTAAAATGCCCCACCATGTTGCCATATTCTTTTAACCCAGAATGCTGCTTGTATGTTTCTTGGAGACCAGCCTCTGACCCTTTCCATCCCTACAACCCCAGTATTGAGACCAAACAAGTGACACAGAGAAAGAAACTTCCAAAAATGAATCAGTGAGGGCCGAGAATTTAGCTCAGTGGTTCTTAAGCAAGGTCCTGAGTTTGATTCCTGGTACCCTCCCCCCCAAAAAAGAAGTACTTTAAAAAGAAATGAATCAGTAGTCGAGGCAAGGCTGGCAGCTGCTCTGGGGTCATCCTATCAATGTCTCAGATCCTGTAGAGAAGCTCCAAATGCAAACCAAAGAAGAGAATTTCCTATCAGGGCCCTACCTTTGTCGCTCAGCCCTGAGCCTGAAGCTTGAGCTCTAAGCACCTGCAGGGATGTTCTATTCCTGTTGCAAGCTTCCTCCTGTACAGACTCACACACAGCATCCATCCACCAGCCCAGCCAGGACCTGGAACTGTGCAGTTGGCTCCCCAAGTCTCCAGAAGAGGACTGGTGTGTGTGTAGGACTGTGCTTGCTTCTCCCATGGCCTGCAGGTGCTGGTAGAAGGACCCAGGCTGCCTCCCAGTACAGGTCTCCTACTCCAAGGAGGAGGAAGTTTCACCAAAGGTCACCCCAATAATAAGACCATCTCCTTCTGCCCTGCAAGGTCTTCTGGTAAAACCACTGAAATGGTTGCAAAGAGGGAGAGGGGAGCAGTTACCAGTGATCCTTCAAATAATCACATAAACTAAGTTTGGCTCATCTTCAATAAATGAAAAACTGTGTAAATCATGGTCTTTCTCCCATGGGGCTATATGGGAAGGAGACCTGAAGGAGAAGAGAAGCATGGTTCTGTCTGGCAACAGCTGTGTAGCCCACTGCCCAGGTCCCAGGGCCCTTCCCTTCCCTGATCCCTTCTTCAACTGTGGCCTGTGGATTCATTCCCTGGGAAGGCGTAGCTCTGTTAGCCTGACATATCAGTCCCTTGAGCACCTACCATATGCCAGACATCAGCACTGGGGATGCAGGGATGCAGGTGTGAACTCTCACCTCAGAAAGCAATCAGACTGGTCCCCAGAGGAGAAAGACAAAGAAATCATCTTGTTTGACATGGTCTGATCCAGACAGAAGGAAGCAGGAATTCTCAGAGGATGGCACCCAAGCCATTGTGGCCCCAACCTGTCTGTCTGTCCTTCTCAAGTAGAACCAGGCTGGGCTTTCACACCAGGGCTGGGAGCGAGAAGCCTGGGGCAGGAGAAAAGGGAGCAGAATAGGTTAGTGGCTGATGGCCAGCCTGTCAAAAACAACACCCCTCAGATTACTGTCATTCCTCTACTTCCCAGTCTTGCTTTTCATCCTTTCTCTGCAACCTGTTCATCACGGTCTTTCTTCAACCGTTCTGGAGAGGTGCCACATTGGAGGCACATGCTAGGAAGGTTGTCAGTGGCTCCTCTACACTGTCCTGGGACCTGGTCATCAAAGAAACAGCAATGCCTTTTCCTGTAATGTTGGTCTCCATGAAGATTCTTCCCTAAACCTCATCTCTTCCTTGTTCTAAACACTTCTAGGAATGGTTTCTTTCATACAATGGCCTCATTTTTCCTCTGTGTGATGGTGGGCCCCCAAAACCATCTGCAAGCAGCTAAATGCCTACCAGGAACTGTGTTAGCTTCCTAATGTGGCTGTCCAAAAAAAATAATAATAACATAAATTAAGGAGCTGAAAGGTACACAAATTTATTATCTTACTGATCTGGAGGTTAGAAATCCAAAGTGAGTCTGAGAGGACTAAATGCAAGTAGTCAGGGTGATGTTCCTTCTGGGGGATCCAGGGAAGAATCCATTCCTTGCTTTTTCCAGCCTCTAGAGGCTGCCTACATTTCTTGGCTGGTGGTCTCCTTCCATCTCAAACCAGCAATCTGACCAGTCCAGCCTCTTCTCCTATCATCTCCTTCTTTGGCTATCTTGACCCTTCTTTCACCTATGAAGATCATTATACTGGGCTTTATTGCGGGCACTTATTTGAGATCTTATATTGGGCTCCCATTGTTAATCCAGGATAATCTCCCAATCTCAAGACCCTTGTGTGACTTTCCTAGGGCTGCTGTAGCAAAGTACCACAGACTGGGAGGCTTAAACAGGAGAAATTTATTTTCTCAAAGTTTTGGAGACTCGAAGTCCAAGATTAAGGCTCCAGCAAGTTTGATGTCTTCTGAGGTCTCTCTCTTTGGCTTGTAGATGCCATGTCCTCGACATGTGTTCATGTGATTCTTCCTCTGTGCAGGTCTGTGTCCTAATTTCATCTTCTAATAGGAATACCAGTCAGGTTGGATTAGAGCCCATACTGATGACCTCTTTTTAACTTAATTACCACGTTTAAAACCCTGCTTTCAAATGCAGGCACATTCTGAGTTGCAGGGGTTTAGGACTTCAACACATGAATTTAGTAGAGATTCAGCTCTGCCTATAACGTCTCTGAGTCACATCTGCAAAATTCTTTTTGCTGTGTAAACTATTCACAAGTTCTAAGTATTTGGACATGGAGAGATACCGACTTTTGAACAACAACAAAATACAGCATTTTGGCAACTAGCTGCAAGTTTATATCTGTAATATTATTATAATTACTAGAGATCTTAATACCCAGACTAATTCACATATGCACATTTTCATTTAGAAGTTTGCTCAGAATCGTAAATAAGACTCACAAAATCCAAGTAAGAACCTCAAGTAAATTACTCTGGAACAGAAGCTACCTTCTTCTGCTGTTCATTCACTGGGAAGAGGGAATAAAGGCCCATTGAAGGTACCTGCAGTCATCTCCTCCCACCCACTGGAAAAAGGGTGTGCCTGCTTTCCGGGACCAGGCTTAGTAACCAAACTAAGGATTGGCAGCAGGTGCAAGCCAAAGTCAAGGCCAGAACAGCTATGTTCCAGTTCTATGCAATGGAAGGATGACAGGAAGTGAGGCCGGTTCCTGTGAAAGCCACTGCGTGAGAAAAAAGACGGGTCCGGCTGTGTGTAGAGTGGGTGTGGCCAGACAGGCAGCTGGAGGAGGAGGGGGACACACTCACTCATTTGGGAGGAGGAAAGAGGTTGCCCAGAGAATGATGCTGAATGTGGGAAAGGCCTGGGATGGTGTGTGAAGCACTTTTCCCGTACAATCTGTGAAGGCAGCACTCTTCCACTGGTTCACTCAACAATTAGCTATTGAGCACCTCCTGGGTGCTGCTCTGGACCGTGGAGAGAAGGACATGAACAAAACAGACATAAAGTCTTCCATTCTAGAACCTTCTCCCTGGGAAGAGGAGCCAGGCCATAAATAAGGACATCCTCCACTGAATAAGGTGGTGTTGGAGGGGATTATAGTCGTAGGTATTATGAGAAGAAGCAAGCTAAGGGAGAGTACGTGCTACCTGATAGTGTGGTCATAAGAATGTTCTCTGGGGAGGTGACATTTGCACTAGACCTGAGTGAAGAGGAGGAGGACGTCAAGTGAAAGCCTGGGGCAGATCTGACATTCTAGTAAAGAAGTGGAAAGCAAGGACAGAGGAGACCCTTGGGAACTGAAAATACCATCTACATTACTTTGAATTTTAAATGTACCCCAAAGGCGCAGGTATTAAAAAGCTTGATCTCTAGCATGGCACTATTAGGAAATGCCATTAAGAAGTAGAGCCTAGGGGGAGAAAAGGTAGGTCATTGGGAGCAAGAATTTGAAGCAGGAACCCAGCCCTTCATCTTCCTCTCTTCGCTTCCCAGCCATCATGATGAGGCAAGCAGCTCCTTCTCCCATGGGCTCACCACCGTGGTGCGCTGCCTCACCACAGGCCCACAGGCAAAAGAGCTAATCCTCCACAGACTGAAACCTCCAAACTTGTGAACCAGAATAAAACTTTTTTCTTTATAAGCTGGCTGTTTCCAGTATTGGAACAGGATGAGAAAGCTGACTAATCGACCACTTCTGTTCTTCTTTATCTCACTTCTCTCCTCACTACAACTGCCACTCCAACCCTACCCTGAAATACAATTTGTTGGGCACCATGTTGTCTGACCTATAGCCTGATTGGATGATGCCTGTCATTCAGGTTGTTCTTCCTACTTTCTTTGGTTCACATGTCTAATTAAAAAAAAAAAAATCCTTATAGTGGCTTTAAAATGAATTTTGTAAATTAGAATTCTGTAAAGTTTTAGTCATGCAAGATGAATACATTGTAGACATCTGCTGTAGAACATTGTACCAGTGGTTAACTACAAGATATCCTGTATCTTTAAATTTATTGAATGAGTAGATCTCATGTAAGTGAATCGGGAGGTACCTTTGCAAACCAGAAAGGAGGTAGTTAGCAATGACCTCTCCCCCTTCCCTCATTCTTATATTCGATTTGTCACTGTGCTCTGTTGATTTCACCCACTGGTGGTCTCTAATATTGATGCACCTCTTTCCAAACTCTTTGTCCCCAGCCTGGTACACTGCAACATGTTTACTGCATGTCATACTGTTGGCCTCCCTCCTTCCTCTCTGTTCTCCACACAGCAGCCAGTAGCCTCCTGTAAAAAATATGGATCACTCCACTTTTGCTTAAAACTCTCCAACAGCTTTCTAATGCTCCCGGGAGAAGGGTGTTAATGTGTCTCTTTGTCTTCTTCCTCCTCTCTGTCCCAGCCTCACCTCAGTGGCACCCGCCACCACAGTTCTCACTGGGTGCCTTGGCCCAGAATGCCTCCTCCTCTTGCCCCTCCTGCCCATCCTTTGCATCTTTGCTCAAAGATCAGATCCTAGGGATGTCTTGGTCTGTCCTCTTTTTCACATCCTCATGAGATCACAGTCCTTTTTACTTTTGACCACTGATCTCTGTTGCACAGACACAGTAATTTACATAATTGGTTAGTGTGCTTCCTCTCTCTCCTTCAAGCTCCCTGGCGCCAGGCATCACATTTCTCTTGATTGCTATACATATAGTTCCCAACTTACAATGGTTTGATTTAGTATGGTTTGACTTTACAACAGTAAGAGAGAGCAATGCATTCAGGAGAAACCTGACTTGGAGGTTTTGCATTTGGATGCTTTCCTGGGCTAGTGATATGCGGCACAATTCTCTCTGGAGGTCCCAGGCAGCAGAGGTGAGCCACAGCTCCCAGTTAGCCCCAAGATCACAGGGGGAAACAACCGATACTATGCAGTGCACTATATTTCCAGCAGTTTTGGGGTTCAGGTATTCAATAAATATAAAACATTCAGCAGTTTATCATAAAATAGGCTATGTGTTAGATTCTTTTGTCCAACTGTAGGTTAATGTAAGTCTTCTGAGAGCATTAAAGGTAAGATAAACTAGTTATGATGTTTAATAGATTAAGTATATTAAATGCATTTTCTACTTAGGATATTTTCAACTTATGATAGGCTTACTAGGATGTAGCCCCTTTGTAAGTTGATGAGCACATGTAGCTGGCTTTGCACAAGAAGATGTGTCAGCAGCTCAAGAAAACTGAGCCCTGGTCCCCAGGAGGCCAAAGGAGGAGAGGCCAGAGCATTTGTCCCCAGAAGCTGTGGTGGAGGCTTGGGAGCTTTGCCCTGGGCCTGACTGGGAAAGGAAGGGGATCAACCTCAGCCCAGCCCTGTGGCAACTCAACCCTGGAACTCTGCATACAACCTTTGCACCTGGTTTCACCTGAAGCATCCATGAGCTAGCCAGAAAGGGGTGGCAAAAAGACAGTTCTAACATCAAACCAGTAGATATCTCAGTGGTGGGCCAGTGGGGTTTGTATCTCTGATACCCTTGCTATGGTGCCCAGCAATGGATTCATAGCTGAGTGCCAGGAGATTTCTCTGCTAGGGAAAACTGCAAGGTATTGTATGGAGGCATTTCATTTTGGAAGGAATCGTGAGGATAACTTTCTCAGAAACAGTATAAAAGGAAAAGAGGAAGACACAGAAGGACTTTGCATGGAAATGAAGGGATTTAGAAAAACAGCCTGTCTTCCCAGTATGCTCGGAGTGTCCCAGGAGTCATAAAATGGAAACACTAGATCACCAAGGAGAAGGCAGAGCCATTCCCTAACTAAAAGGGAAGTCAGTCCAATAAGGAAGACAGAACAAAATGAATTACATCAATAAATGTAACAGGTGATGTTATAAAAGTAACTGTGAAAATAAAGAGAAATCCACTTTTCATCTGAGGATAAGTATTGGTATAACTATTATCAAAATTCAGAAAACAAGTTCTGGTAGGGATGTAAAGAGTTTAGAACCCTCTCACATTGCTTGTAGAAATGTACAATGGTGCAGCCAATATGGATAACAGAATTACCATATTATCTAGCACTTCCACCTCTGGGTGTACACTGAACAAAACAGGAGGCAGAGACTAAACAGATGTTTATATGCCCATGCTTATAGCAGCATTATTCACTAAAGCCAAAATGTGGAACCCACCCAAATGTCCATGAACAGATAAATGGATAAACAAGCTGTGATGTATACACGCAATGGAATATTATTCAGTTTTTAAAAGGGAGGAAATTATGCCCACAGTGTTGGTACATGCCTGTGATTCCAGAACTCTGGCAGGGGAATTGCAAGTTTGAGACCAGCCTGGGCAATTTACAGACTTAGTAAGACCTGGTTTCAAAACATGAAAAGGAGTTAGAATGTAGCTCAGTATGAGGGTCCTGGGTTCAATTCTAACTGCTGCAAAGGAAAAAAAAGGAAGGAAATTCTGGCACACGCTACAACATGGATGAACCTTGATGACATTATACCGAGTGAAATAAGCCAGTCACAGAGGGACAAATATTGTATGATTTCATTTACATGTGATATCTAGGGTATTCAAAAAGTAGAATAGTGGTTCCAGGGGCTGGGGAGAGGGAGAATGGGAAGTTAGTGTTTAATAGGCACAGAGTTTCAGTATAGAAGACAAAAAAGTTCTGGAGATGAAAGGTGATAATGGGTGTACAAGAATGCCACTGAACTGTACACCTGAAAATGATTGAGATGGTAAATTTATGTTTGGCCATAATTAAAATAAACAATTTTAATTAAAATTATTTTAATTAAATGAGAATAAGAGAAAGCTTTACTATCTGGGGATGCTGGGGAAAGAACTGGCACAAAGACAGGGAGCAGAAGAGAGAAGAGAAGTGGTGTTTGCATTTAACACACCCAGCCAGTGGGACCAGGATCTCAGGCATCTGTTACTTGGACACTGGGTGGCCCACAGCAAGCCTCTTTGCTGCTCTCAGCTCTGAGCAAGTTGCTGGGAGGACAAATTTTCTGCAAAATAGGGGGCAAAGTCATCAGCCTGCTGGAAATGATGGTGATGAGCGGGGGGCGGGGGGGGGGATGGGGAATGCTTTTGAGGTGCTTTCTTGGATGAGATTCATGAAGTTTTGGACCAGCCCAGTGGGGAAGAAGGGGAGGAGACCAAGGGAGGGCTGGGAGCTGGCTGGGCAGCAGGGAGGGCCCCCTGAGCATGGATTCTAGATGCCCAGGCAGCACACTTTGGAGAATGCTCTTAAACCTTCCCAGTAGCCTAACAGAAGGAGGATTAAGCACACTGAAGATTGTTGGGGTGTCCTAAGATATGAATGGATGTATTTCTAAAAATACGGACCCGAGGGCCAAGCCTGGGAAAAAGGGGGAATAAATGAAGATTGATTGGAGCCATTGATCAGAGTGAATGTGTTTCCAAATGCTGGCACTGTAACTCTGAGGATATGTGGGGGGAAAAGGACTTCAGCTGGCACACAGACTCACACTGAAAGGTCTAGCCACTGCAATTTTCATTCTGTCTTTCTTATAAAGTCCAGGACCAAACATCTGATTGGGGTTACTGAGACAGAGAAGAGAGCCTGGATGGACTCTAAAAGGTGCTTTTATTCCACGACTGCCCCAAATGCCTTGTGATCAGGCCACAGCTCCATCAGACGCCCCATGGCCACTCCAGGAAATATTTGTTTCATTTGCAGCAGGCTTAGGCTACAGACCTGTCACAGATGACTCTGTCCTCTGCAGCCCTCCTCAGTCAGTTCCAGGAGGGGTCCCTCTGCCACCCATGAGCACTCTACCTAAGCAACCTCCTGCAAGTCAGTCTGGGTCAGTCAGTACACTGTTCCCCCTTATGTAGCAGCCCTTCGGCCTAAGTTACCATAAAGCCTCTCCTGGATGCCAAATGCCTATGTGATCTCTGTCTCAATTTGTGTAGGCTGAGCTAGTTGACACCGAGCGTCACTGGTGTCCAGAGAGGCTGGCACTGGAGTGGGTTACAATGAAGGCAGCTGGCAGCCAGAAAGCAACAGAGAGGAAAAAGCAATTGCCAGGAGCCACCATCTCTGATGGCCAAAAGAGATCCTGAGACCTGTTGGGAGCCATTCATGCCCAGGAGCACAGAGCTGCTAACACTAAAAGAGATGATAGCCGATAGCCATGGGCGCTCAAAGCCCAGGGCTGCTTACTCTAAAAGAGCTGGTCAGTGGGTCACAAAGGAGGATGGAGTGTTCGAGCCCAACCTGGGAAATTTAGTGACTTATGGAGACCCTGTGGTATGGGCTGGGGATGTAGCTCAGTACAAAGGTCCCTGGTTCACTCCCCAGTACCCCCCACATACACATACACAAAGAACTACATTTTATCAATCCATGATTCCCGTATGAGTTGATTCAGCTGATTGGTAACATCTTGGTATCTTATATGGGCATCCTCCCCTGTAAATGGCCCTGAAAAAGTCAACAGACAGTGGTAATGGTCATTGGCAGGCTGAGGAAATGGCCTATGTCTGATTTCCATCTTATATGTGGCTAAGAATGCACACTAAGTGTTGATACCTCTATCTTTACCTAACATCTAAAATTTATAAATCTTCGGCCTTTATTTGAGAGAACAGCAATCATGCCCACAACTCCAATAAGCAACAGTGTCTAGTTCAAGAGTCAATAAATCTGACCTTCTGCTTGGTTTTATAAATAAAGTTTTATTGGCACACGCCATTTGTTACATATCGTCTATGGCTACTGTGGCAGAGTTGGATGGTTGCAACACTGACTAACAGTGTGACTCACAAAGCCTAAAATATTTCCTACCTGGCCTAATACTGAAAAAGTCTGAAGATCCCCACTCTAGTTTACATTATTTTGTTTTCAGTATACATAATACTTTCTATTATCAGGTCATATTAGTTTTTCACTGGTAGTGAAAATAATTAATAGAAATTAAAAATCCACTTAGTGAAAAAAGAACAAAGTAGTAGGTATTAAAAAATTAATTTACTGGTGTTCTGTGATAAGTAATCAAAGCAGACCAAGCTGTGGCAAGTCATGGGGAGGAACACACATAGGTGCTCTGTAATCAGGGAAGTTGAGGGACCTGAGGAGGATGAAGACATCCGTGTTGGTAGAGGAAAGGGATCTGAAGGATAATCAGGGCTCCAGGTGGGGCTTTTATGAGAATAAAGGGTTCATATCCATAGAGGGCTCAACAGGTCCTCATGGATCTGGTGGGGGTGGCACAGGGGCACTGGGGCCTGGGAGCTTGGTGGATAAAAGGGAGAAAGTAATGGTGTAGGAGAGTCAAGGGAGGATTCCTTCTAACCTAGGGTTTTCCCTCCAGAAGTGTCATGGCAGAAGGGATGTAAAGATGACAGTGATGATGACAGCAGTGATTTTTGTCTGCTTACAGTGTGCAGGTTGCAAGTACTTATACCTAGGAGCTCGTTTAATCTTCACAATAACCACGTGAAATATGGATTTTTTTTTTTTTACTGTGAGGAAATTGAGATACAGAGAGATAAGTGACTTACCCAAGGTCACATAGCCAGTGAGTGGTACAGCCAGACACCCTACTAAGCTCTGCATTGTGAAAAGGCAGGGAGGCCTAGTGAACAGGATGGTGTGGCTAGCCCCACCCAGCCCATGAGTCCTGCCACCTAGAAGGTGACTGGGCCTTAGCCATTGGTGGAGTCAGGTCTGGGAACAATGACACCAGGTCAGCTGAGCAACTCCCTTCCTTCCCTACCCCAGTCTGCCCTTTAGGATCCAGGTCATGGAATGAGTTCAATCCCTGGTACCAAAAAAACAAAACGAAACAGGATCCAGGTCATGGAGAGGCTGTCATCCAGTGACATCACATGGAGATGACAAGGTCTCAGTTTCCAAGAAAAGGCAGAGTTGTGAGGCAGCCAGAGAAGGTCAGGCCTCCCCAAGCCAGGAGTGGCTACGGCCCCTACAGCCCAGAGAAGCCTCAGAAGCAGAGGGACAAAGGGGCCCCAAGGGACTGAACCTGGGTGACAAGCCAAGGGCTGGGCACCCAACTCTGCCCTGCACAATGTGCTCCCAGCTCAGAAACTTTCAGTCTGGCCTATCGGAGGCTACTGTTTGTATTTCTCTGTTTTTGTGTTTTTACCATTGTACTTACCACCATCTGAAATTATATCATTCATGCACTACTTAAATATTAATTGTCTTCCCTTTAGACTGCTACCTCTGTGGTGCTGGGTTCTTCATTTGATCTTGTTCTATGCTGCCTGACACATAGTAGATGCTCAATAATATTCACTTAATTTAAACCTCAGCTCAGCTCAAGCTTTTCAATGTATGAAGGCCCTTGGGGGAGATGAACTCTCTGGCTTGGTGATGGAGAGGACAGCCACCCAGAGTCCAGGTAGGATGAGCCTTACCTTCTCAGCCTCTTCCAGTGCTGCAGAGGTAGTCAGTGGAATCTCAGAGTCCTGGGGCCTGACATATTCTTCGAAGTACCTGGTAGTAGGGTGGGCCACATTTAATGGGGCTCTGATAGTGCTCCATTATCTTATGGGTGCTTCTGAAGGCTTGGTTTGAGAGTCTAAATGTTCCATCTGCAAGACAGCTAAAAGTTAAAAGTATGCCCCAGCAAACAAATATTTTAGCTAAAGGGATATAATTTGAGTTTTGTAGAAGTCCTAATGCTGAAGTCCCAACCCTCATGACCTCAGAAGGTGACCATATTCAGAAAGTCTTTGTAGATGCTTTTAATTAAGATGAGGTCACATGGAAAAGAATGTGCTCCTGATCCAATGTGACTGGTGCCTTTATGAGAAAGGGGAAATTTGGCAGAGGGAGAGCACTAAGTAAAGACAACAGCAGGCCAGGGTGAAGCCTCCTGAAGCCAGTGAACCCCAAGAAGTTAAGAAAGACTGGAACAGCTCCTCCCTCAAAGCCTCAGAGGAACCAGTGCTGCTAACACTACACCTCAGACTCAGCCTCCAGAACCAAGGGAGAATGCATGTCTGTTCAAGCCACCAAGTTTGAGGTTGCCCATGCCAGCATCCCTGGCAAAGCCACATGGCTATTTCCAACAGGGCTCCTGGTCATGGCAGGTGAGTTCGTCATGGAAAATTGCTGTGGAAAGAGGATGGTGGCACCCTCTTGCTAAAAGAGATACATACAACAAGCTGCTCCTTGTCAGGTTAGATGAATATTTCTTTCTAACAAGCTGGCCCTGGATCTAGGCCAGCCTCCACCTCGAGCATTTCCCATTCCACACACCTTGAGCCACTCTTCCTACTTACTCTTACTTCCTCCTTCCTCTTCCCAGCCTGTCCCATGCCAGAGCTCAACTGGCACTCCCCTGGCTTTTCATCAAATGTTCCAGCTGTGCAAATGCCTAAACTGACTCCACACACAGGAGAGGCCACTGCTAGATCAGGAGCAAGAGAGCTGCCCCGCGCACAGTGGAGGGCTGCCTCATGCCAGTCTGCTAGGGCCCATGGTCAGAGACACCCAAGAATACATACACACACGAAACTCTGAAAGGTACCTCAGAACTTGTATGTGGCCAGCTTGGGACATACAGGGTGCCGAAGCTGCCCTGAGGAGAGACCATCACTGTTCATCAACTGTTCTTCCCAAGAAACTCTCCTAGTCAAAGCTGGGACTGTAGGTAGATTAGAACTCTCATGGCTTCCCCAGCAATGGGAAGTATTCCTGCGTAGGTGCCTGACCTCTTTTGAGAACATGCTAGGAAGGCCACAGATCCTGAGGAGGACGCTGACCTCAAACTCAGCACTTCCTCCTTAGAAATGTTTCAGATTGACTACCTGGCTTGGATCAAATGTTGTGGAGTTTCCGATCCTAAAAACTCTAGCTATGTATATAATTTCCCCCTTTCACTCTCCCCAATACCTTTTCTGAAAGATTCTTTCTCATCTTGGCTCTGTTTTACATGTAGGAAACTAAATTTGAACCTCCTATTTGTTTTAATCCTTTGGGAAAGGTGAGAGAGAGAGTGGAAATTGTCTCCTTCATTTATCTGGAGAAACTGAGGCCTGGAGAGGTTTGGCATCTTGTTGGAGGCCCTGCCTGGTTCGGGAATAGAAGGGTGATCATCTATGTAGCACAGTCACAGAGGCCAAGAGTTGTCACTGCATTTTTCTCATGTGATACTCACTCTACACAGCGGCCACAGTGGTAGGTCACCCATTTTATACACAACTCCTCAGAAGTGCATGCAGTGTCTGGAAGAGCATACAGGTATATCTCATTACAAGTGAGAAAGCAAACCTCAAGTCAGTCAGTACAGAACACACAGAATCAACAGACCATGTAACATCTCTTCACTTTTGTCTAGAAGTTGCCTTTTGATCCACATTGAACCCAGTGCTGATAGAGGCCAGAGGTCTCTTTGCTCACAGTTGTCCTCTGTCCACTTAAACTTCCCCTCTTTACCTGCATCTGTTATCTGCCTATCATTGGAGGATGCTCTGCTCCCTCAGTCTTCAAAAGGGAGAATCTACAAGACAAGCACATCTTCTCTTGCTAATATTGACCAATTCTTAGAGCATCATTTCAAGATCTGTTGATGTCCACAAACATCTGTCTATGCCTTTTACATAAAACTTCCTTCATGCACCAGGAAGAGAGGGAGGAAGGGGCACAGGGAAGAAAACCCTATTCTATCCCATTAGATGAAGCCACTGAGTCTCAGAAAAGGACACTCAGCTCTCTGGCTCCTACATCAGAGAACAAGGCATGGAGCAGCCCCCCCTCCAGGGCCACAGGACCCCTGAATTGTCAAACCCATTCAAGGGCACCCTGAGTCCTCTGCCACACAGCTGGGCTGGTTCTAGTGATGACCTGCCCAATCATCAGTGACATCAGATTGTTTTGGTTGGGTTCATTCCTGGTCCATGAAACAGTTATGAGCTATCATGCCCTACTGGCTGCCAGACTCATAAAAGTGGACCCATGTGTACTTCCTTGTGGCTCCAAGACATGCTGGCTCACTCACTGGCCCACACCCACAGAGAGAGAGAGAAGGCAGCAGCAGGCTGCATAGCCACCTCACATGCAAATCAGCCCCAGGAGTGCAGCTGGACTCCTCCTGTGGCTCCCGGGCAATGCTCCTGGGCAGGCCCTGTGGAAGATGCCATCCTGGGCGCTGTGTGCTCATCCTTGTCCTTGGTCTCCTGTGCGACGCTGTGGGCCTGGTCCTTTTGCTGCTGGGGATTTTTGCCACACTGAATTACTGGGACTTCTTGGTCTACACAGGGGCCCTGCTCCTGGCATTCAGCCTGCTGTTCTGGGTCTTCTGGTACACCTTCAATATCAAAGTGCCTCTTGAGAAACTGGACTTGTTGCTTGGCCATGGGCAGCAGAGGGATGCATGTGCCACATGCAGCGATGAGCCTGGGGCTGACAGGCACCAACATGCTGCAGTTCCCACCCAGGATGTCCCAAGGGGACCAGGTGAGTGCACACAAGTCCTGCCTGGCAGGGTGGTCAGGGAGGCTGGGACAAGAAGGGACAGGCCAGGACAAAATAGGCAAGTGGCTGGACTATACCCTAACTAGGGACTCTGTAAACCTGGGCTCTAGTCTGTGCTATGCTGGACCGGCCAGGAGAATCTGGAGCAAGTATTTCTTCTCTGGGAACCATTTTCTTCAGAGAGGCCAGACAGAACTGCTCTACAACCCCTTCTACCTCTGGTATACCATTAACAATCCCGTCTGCCATGCAGAAGGAAAGTTATCGCTTTAGCTTGCAACTGAAAAGAACAGAACCCATCTTGATTCTCCATTGGAGGAAATCCCTGCTGGGGAAAACAAAAAAGGAAAGGATGGAAAGTTCTCCAGTGACTGTGTATGCCCTTGCATGCCTGGAGGGGTGTGCACAGGGCTGTGTGGGAGCAAGCAGAGCAGAACCATACAGAATGGCCCTTCTCACTTGCTTCCTCCTGTATCTGCCCAGGTTGGGCACAAAAGGCAGGGTCAGGTCCTGCCCCTGTGTCCACTTAGTAGTTTCCCTAACCCACCTTCTCACACACACTACATGCAGCCAACATCTATGCCCAGGCCAGCCTCAGATCCAGAAGTCAACAGACCATGGATTCATGGTTTTCATCGGGCTGAGCTGTGTGTCACAGCCCAGCAAGCAGCTCAGTTAACTACATGGTGCCGAAGAGGCAACTAGTTGTAATATAGTTTCCATAGAGATAGTGTCCAGAAGATAGTGCTGGTCTGGCCCTTACAACTCTGAATTCAAGATGGGCAGTGTTCCCAGGGGACTGCAATTAGAGCTTTGGTAGGTTTGATTGTCATTCCTTCTTCCCCAGATGGGCCAGGCCCAGGACCTGCACTCAGGTGCAGGCAGGCACTCCCTTTTGATTAGGAGATATAGAAGCAAAGGTCATTGCTGAATTAGAAGAAGGAAATAATGATTATACCTTTTATGGAAAATTATCACTCTCTGAGCTGAGAGTAAAGAGCAATACCTTGAGGAGGTCTCTGTGGTGTGCCTGGTAGGTGATAAGGAAAGAGACGAGATATTAGGATACCTAGGACCCACTCTGAGCTCCCACACCTAGCTGGGTGACCTTGGGCAGGCTGCACCACACTGTGAGCTTCAGTATTCTCAACTGTAAATGCTGTAAATGGAAGGTAGCACTCCCCGCCTTTGTTGAAAGGACCAAACAGGGGTAAGGCACGAAAGAGTTTTTCCAAATGATGTGGTTCCCACAAACATCAAGTGCTGTTATTAAACATGTGGTCTGGGGTGAGTAAACTGAACCAGAATCCAATTTGGGAATACTTGGAGTCCCTGAAGCTAGTAATGGAGGAGGTCAGCTCACACTTTGCATTATGAAATTTCAAAGCAGGGGCCATCACCCTCATTTGTTTGCTGTTTCATTGGCACAGGTCAGCTAATGTGTGAGGCCCTAGGGATTCCAAGACACATGAGGGCTCTGCTCTCAGGGAGTTCACTGTCAGATGAGAATAACGTGTCTCAACCAAATAGTCACACTAATAGCAGTGTAATAACAAAGTCAGGTGAGGACCAGGAAGGAAAGCAGCATCAAGCCATAAGAATATACACTATTGAAATGGACCCGGAAGGTGGTGACATCAGGCTGAACACCAAAGGAGGAGTAGGCCTGGAAAAATCTATACTCAAATGACTTGGCTATAAGTCCTGGAGGAGCAGGGAGACAGAAAGGCAGAGGGCACATGCTAGAGAGAGTTGGGCCCTGTGGTAGGTAGAGGCTGAATCTGGCAGGACCTTGAAGAGCCCCTTAAGGATGTTGCTTATTACTCTAAGGACAATAAGACACTAACTTACACTTGCCCAGAGGGGACACACACAAGATGTGAGCAGGGGTGGAATGTGACGTAACTGGACCTGTGTGTCCAAAAGACCACCCAGCCCACAGCTCAGATGGTGACCATGCTTAGTGCCACCAGTTGCGGATCTGAGACCCATGGCCAGCATGAGGCTCCTTGCTTTGCTTACCCTTCTCTCAGCCAACAGATACCTAACAGCCCATAGGTAAGGACCACGGGCCAAGTTCCAAACAGTCTCTGACCTGAATCCAGTTTTGTTCCTTTCTAGCTATGTGACCCGAGGGACAAGTTACTTTACCTCTCCATGCCCCAGTTTCCAAATTTGTTAAGTGGAGGTGATGTGATTAATAATAACCTCTCCCTCCTAAGGATGCTACTCAGATTAAGTCGATTATTATCTATTCAACACAATGGCTCCGTAAAGCAACGGGCACATCATTAAACCTTGGTCACAATGCAGAAAGCTGGCTCAGGAGAGAAGGGGAGAACTTCCTCCATGGCATTCACCTTTGAACCATTATTATCAACTCTTAAGATAGTGTATGTGGTATTAAGGTTTGTCAGTAGAAGTGAGGGTATGTGCTCCTCCAGAAGGCCAGGTTTCTGCTTAGGCTCAGCACATTAGCAGTTGAAAGACCCATTGCAGTCTTCATTGAACGCACATGCAAATAGCACCTTCACTCTTTTACTCTCCAAACTCCATGTTGAGGAAGCCCTCAAAGCTAGCTAGCCTGTCCATCCAGCCTCTCTCTGTCCCTCCATCCCATGCAGGGTCTCAGGGTTGGCCCAAAGTGACAGGTCAGTGTGGCTGAGACTTGCTGTTCAGGAGGCTGCTCATTTATGGGGCTGCACACCAAACCCCTTGGGACCTTGGACAATTCATTTTCCTTCCTTTTACAATGAGGTCTTTGATCTTCATGGGAAGAAGGTTTCAAACTGGAAGGGGCAGGAGGATGGGCTGAGAGCACAGTGAGAGGCAGGACTCCAGCAGCCCCACACTCCCCCCTGCACTCCTCCAGTTTATCAGAGCAGCAGTGCTCTTGGTGGTTTTATGTTTTGAACTTGTATGTAAGGCTTTGTGTGAATGCAAGCCTCTGATGCTGAAAACCACTTCTCACAAACAGCTAGTGTCAATTCCCTTAAATTCCATGACCTTTGGCCAGGGTGTAATCATGAGTCATATTTATGATTTATGGGCAGATGGTAACTGGCTTTGCCAGTTCTTCCATTCTCAGAGTGGGGGAAAAGGAGAGAATGTAGATTTCTCAGTTCAGAGCTGATGCCACCGTTCATTGTGTGTCCTTCAAGGATTCAGTAAGGTAAGGTGAATAGGACTTGCCCTGCCCGGTTCATGACACAAGGAGGTCACTTTCCTGGTCTAGTATGGACAGAGCAGAACCTGCAGCTTGTGACTTCTCTGGAAATGAGAGCAGCCCAGCTGCTGAAACTCAAAGGCAGTCCAGAAGCTTAGGAGTGGCTCATTTCTACACTCCGACTGGGTACCAAGCATGACATTTGCCCTTTGATTTTATCACTCAGTAGCTGTATTTTCAGAACTGTTTGCTCTACTTTCTATTTCTTAGGCTTTTTCAATAGATAAGAGTAAGTCCCCAGAAAAAGTCAGGGGAGGACTCTTGCTCTTTTACAACAGGATATCTGAGACTATACACCCCACAAACATGCACATGTACTCTATATGCATGCCTACTTCCTTTATTGCTCTCCCGTGCATCCAACATACCCAATGCACGCACACAGTCTCCTCTTTCACCTTATTAACACATGCGCACCCTATATGCATATACTGTACATACATGTTCATACACACAACAGCACAGCACCCACACACACTTACATAAACCTAATCACATCCTCCACATCCGCAGCACCTCATGGACATACACTCACACCCCTCACACCTGCTGCACACCCAGCCAGAAACACACTCTGACCCAGACAAGCACACTCACTGCCCAGGAATCAAAGTCAAAAGCATGGAAGTTTCACTCACAGCCAGAGCTCTGGAAAGTGAAACTTGTTCTTCTGCATTGGCTTTTCCCAACAGACAGGCTCTGCCCATGGAGGAGGCAGGGGAGCTGCCAAGTCTGCCCAAAGGTGAGCTGGCTAAAGGCCCCTGCAGCTGCTCAGCAAGCTCATGGCCCAGGCAGACACAGTGCTGGGTCCGGGTACACAGTGAAAGATTTGTCAAATCTCTCCAGAGATTTTTAATCAAAAGGGAGAGAAAATGCAAGCACACAAAACTTCACAAAAGTACAGAGAAAAATGCATTCCAGCAGATAAACACAGTAGTAAGTAGGCTCTGAAAACTAGGATGGATCACAGAGCCTCAAGAGGAGGCAAGTGGCCATGTGTCTGGCCACAGTGGTTTTAAAGATCTGGCCTGTCTCCTAGGGATGAGATAAGAATGTGACAGGCAGAGACAGCCCAGGAGGGTTGTCCAGGCAAAGGAGAGGCTGCACAGACAAAAGAATTAGCCCGTCCAGAAAAGGCAGAACAAACACATTGGACTTGGGGTTTATTTGGGGCCTTCAGTACTGACCATACAGGATTTTGAATGCCAGGTGAGGATTTTTGGTGAGGATGGAGGAGCCTTCAATGACATTACAGACTGGAGAATGATGTGACTCCACTCTGGTTGAGAAGAAGTAACTTGGCATGATGGGCACAATGGGTAAATGAGGTGAGTCCCAGAGATATAGACACGATATTCAAGAGTAGTAAGGACTCTAACTGATGATGGCCTTGAGTGGAGGGGAAAAGGGCAGAGGCAGCTGAGGGAGAGGCCTGTCCCAGTCTCTTCCAGGAGGGAAGCAATGCCAAAGACTTCCATAGCATGAGGAGGTCAGGAGAAGGCACCTTTGGTTAAAAGATGTACTTTCTTTTGAACACAGAGAGTTTTAGGTAAAAGTGGAGCACAACTAAAAAAAAAAAAAAAAAAAAAAATGGAGCACAACTACCTGATTGTCATCAAATATGTAGGTTTTTTGTTTTTGTTTTGTGGTACGGGGAATTGAACCCAGGGCCTTTGCACTGAGCTACATCCCCAGTCCCCCCCACCACACACACATAAACATTCCCTTTAAATTTCGTTTTGGAACAGGGACTTGCTAAGTTGCTAAATTGCCCAGGTTAGGCTCAGATTTTCAATTCTCTTGCCTCAGCCTCCCGGAGTGATGTGGGATTACAGGTGTGCACCACCATGTCCAAATTTGAATGTACAGATTTTTAACTCAGAAGAGAAGTCAGACATGGATATGATTGTGAATGAGATTGTAGAAGGCAGGGAGGCAGAAAGAAAAGGGGAGGTTACGGGAATTGTGAGAACAGAGAGAAGAACCAAAAGAGGGAGGAGAGTAGAAAGAAAAGAAAACTAAAATTCAGTGAACCAAGCCGCAGGGTACTGCACATTCTCTTGCTTCCCCTGTAAACAACACCTGAGGAAAGTACCATTAGCATAATAACCATCATCATTATTCCCCTTTCATAGATAAGGATAACAAGGAGCATAGAGGTGAATTAACTTGTTCAACTTGTCAGAGAAAACCTTTTATATCTACCTCTTGTTCATTCTCTTTCTATCAGACAGCACTGGCCAACCATGGCCCATAGCCAAATCAGACCCACCTCCTATTTTGTAAAACAAGTTTTATTGGCTCCTCACCAGTTCATTGCCTTATGCTTTGGCCATGGCTTCTTTATGCTTTCATGGCAGGGTTGAGTATTGCAACAGAGATCATGAGCCTTGCAAAGATTATTATATTGACTACTTGGCCCTTTAGGCAAGCAGTTGGCCAACTTCTGGCCCACCCATGGCATACATTTGAGAAATGTGAGGAGGAAGGCAATGTGGAGAGTCTAAATGGAAGTCACAAGTAATAATAAGGGAATGATACTATGAAGGTAGGAAAGAGGAAAAAGAACCTTGGAGATCAAATTAAGACTGAGGGGAACTGACCTTCAAATGCCTTCAAGAAGTTGAAGCCTACAGAAAGATGACAAGTCTTGGCAATGGTCCTGTATCAATAGATGGGGAAAGATCAGATTAGTGCTACTTTTGGAGAACTGTTGGGAGGTACAAAGAGTGAGTGCAAAGGAGGTTCCCAAATATTTGGTGATGAAATTGGGGAGACAGAGCTATTACCTGGCAGCATAGCTGGTTTGAGGTCAGATGTTTTTAGAGGAAGAGATACAGAAAATTGAACAGGATGGTAAGTGGAGGAGGGAAACCCAGTAGAGAGATAAAGAGGATAATGAAGTGATAAGTCTGACCATGTAACAGGTGGGAACAGAGGGACATATCCAGAGCCCAGCGAGGGCGTGAGTTTGCCTGTAAGAAAGGGTGGGGAGAACACAGTGGAGCGCACTCAGCCAGTCACTTATTTTCATTCATGGCTTATAACTCTTGAGTAAGGAATTTAAATCCCCATTTTACAGGGTGGAGTGGAGGACTGAGCCTCAGTTTCAGGGTTAGTCCAAGGGAAGTATACTATGGAAGGACAGCACCAGGTTCCAAACCTAATTCGGGCTGCCTCAAGAACTACGCTTGTCTCACCACACACAAGCTTGAAAGGATGAACTTGAGTCTCAGCTGACACATTTCGTTTTCATTTACTCAATGTAGGTCCTGTCTGATGGAGAAGAATCAAGACAAGATTCATGCCCTTTGCAGCATGTCCTTGATAATATCCAGGAGGAGGCAGCGGCTGCAATGCCGGAGGCTTTCAAAGCACCCATGAGGATGACGTGAATGGCTCCATCTAGATCCCTGAACCATTCTTTCAGGCCACTAGCATTGCTGCTGCTGCCCCAGCTGATCATGGAGAGCCTGAGAAGCCATGAAGTTTTCCTAGTGGGGCTTTTATGGCAGCAATGCTGCTGTGGGCTTAGATACCAAGAGAGAAGTCCCATCTCTGCCACTTCTCTGGTCAATGTCCTTTTTAAAAAGAACTGACAATTGGAACTAAGCGCAAAAGTCCAAATGGGGTCCCCTGCAAGCACACATTCCCTAATATTGTTGCTACTTCTCTGACTGGCTGGATAGATTCTGTGAGTCCCTGGAGCACTCCACCCTGCCCACATTGCCCAGTGGGCACATGGAACTGTATTCCAATGTGTTGGCTTGAACTGTGAATGTACAATCAGTGGTGTGTGTGAGAGGACTCTCTCCTCCTCAGAGAGAGCTGATCACTCTTCTTGCGGCCCCACCCATTTGGACAGCCTGGCTCATATTGAGCTTTAAGTCAATTGAAACCCTCCAAGCATTTGTCTGACAGGTAAGCTAGGTCTCTGCTGTGCTGTGTGTGTCATTCACTTCATAAACTTAAAAAGGCCAGACTTAATTTTTAGCTAAAGTTGCATGGGGTCTAGTGCAGCCCAACTACAGCAACTCTGAGTGTCAGCATTCCTCAGATGATCTGAGAGATGTGCTCTGCTTTGTCACCCAGGCTTGACCTGCCCCACTAATTTATATTTCCCCAAGTCTAATTTTGTATTTTTATATTACCACTTTTCAAAATGTGTATGTGTTTCCTTTAAGCCTCCTCATATCTTTTATGTTATGAGGCAATTAACTAAATAAAGAAGTGGATTTGGACTGGTGTTTTCACATGACAACGTAATTCTGAGTCTGCGTGATTTCATAACAATTCTTAAAACCCAAGTTTTAAAGCATCATCTTACTGTTCATCGAACCTGTGGTGCAAATCCTAAAATTCCAACACATACAGCATGATGTGATGGAAGAAGAACAAAAATTACCCCAATGCTGTGCAATCTTCCATCATCTCTGGCCTCAGCCACCAGCCTGGCTTCTCAGAAAGCCACTAGACTCAGAAATCTGAAAATATTTCATAGAACATTCTAGTTAAGGCATTGAAAGAAAGATTCCTCTCCTATTCAGAACCTTCCTTGACTATATTTACATGTACTCCTATTTATCACCCCAATTAGTGATTTCTTTACGTGTCTGAGCTGACTGGATATCATGAGAGTGAAAGTCTTCTTACTTGGGGTTCTGAAATGAGCATAGAAGAAAAAGTTGCAAATAATCAAAATCACTCTGTCCTCAGGAAGACTCTGTGCTAAGGCCTCATAACTACTCTTCATGAGACCGATTGTGTGTTTTGTTTTGCTTTTTTGGAATGAAACTGTTTGCTATTTCTTTGGTTGGCTATCAAATGCAATCAGTGGCTTTCACTTAGCAGAAGCCACATTATTCAAAATATGCAAATCTTAAAAAACTAGGATCACACTCAGCCCAGAACATATGTTCACATCTAAAAAAGACTGAAAGAGCTGAGACTGGCTAAGCAGTAGCTGATTCCCACCTCACACAACACACTCACTCCAGGGAATTTCCCACTGTATTTACTTCTTCCTCTCTCTTTCTCTCCTTCCTGTGTCTGTTACTGTACCACTTAAAGACAGTGAAATGTATATACGATGGTCTTCCATATAGGGCACATGTTTTTCTCCCACATTAAGACATGCTCTTGAAAGATGGAGCATCTGACCAGGCTTTGGAAATTGGGGGTGGAGTAAATATGTGATAACAGGACAGGAAGTGAATTAAAATTCCGTTCCAGCTGATTGCTTACTAGCCTTTGGATTAGTCCTTAGGGAAAAAGGAGAGATTCACAGAGAAAAGAGTTCTGGAATTTATCCTCTACTACCCTGGAACCACCTTTAAAAAGCTGGCACAGAGAAGGTACACCTACACAGTGCATGTAGAAATTGGAGGGCAATCCCTGCGGGGTGAGGCTTGGTCCATAACTGCATTTCTGCAGAGATGGTGCCCAGAGACTCTTTAGGGTGCAGAATTAGAGACAAAACCATGGAAGATAATCTTAGAGATAATGAAGCTGTGCACTTCTAACTGTATGAAAATCTCCTGGGTAACTTGTTGAATGCAGATTCTGATTCAGTTGGTCTGGAGAAGCTCTGAGATCCTGCCTTTCTAACAAGCTCGAAGGTGGTGCTGATGGTAATGCCTGTGACCCATGAAGAGCAAAGATCCTCAGCAACCCAGTCATTTCAGAGATTGAGACACTGAAACCTGCAGGTGAAGTGGCTTTTGCAAGTTCAAGTAGTTGAAAGCACGTGGTTCAGGTCTGGAGCCCAAGTCTTCATTCCCCTCCAGAAGCAGTTGACTAGCTTCTCCCAAGTCCTGCAGAGCCTCCGGCAAAACAAGCAAGCAAGCAGGGCATCAGCCAGGGGAAATGAGGCATGCTCACACTGCAAGTGAGTCACGCACCTTCAAACCTGGGGCCCCAACGTGGCTGTGCTGCGTGCCAGGGAATGAGCAGGACTCCACGCTGCTCCACGTCACTCCAGATGCCAGAGAGCTGACTGCATAGGTGCCCATCATGCAGGCAGGGCTTGGAGAGGGTTGAGGAGACAGGTGGGGCTCCCTAAGCTGTACTACATATGATCTGGGTTTGTCCTCCCAGCAAGTTTTCCAAGGAGCTAAGGTTGGTAACGCCTACTCCTCTCCGGGGCCAGCTCTTCAGCCCCTTTTCCTATTGCTTTCCTAGGAAGACAGATGGGATTTTTCACATACCTGAACTCAATCTACCCTTGCCTCTTACTGGCTGAGTGGCCTTGTAGGTGGTCCTAACCAATCAAGAGATGTTCACAATGACATCACAAACATGAGTGTCAAATGCGATTCAGCACTGACCTTCTGCAGCCTCATGGACTGGCAAATAACTTAGATTGTCCCATCTTCCTTTTTTAGAAATCAAAACATACAGCTGTAAATCTTAAATCATTCGCCAGGCTCATAATAATTCTAGAACTGTAGGATTTGTCATTTTAAAAGCTATTTAGAGTAAAGCCTGCCACTAATAATTAGGTCTGCATATAACCTCATTCCCCTGGTTTATTGCAGGCATGACTAATGGGGAACCAAAAAGCCCAGAGGAAATGGGGATTCTAGCCCCAATCAATAGACTCAAAGCCCCCCAGATTCGACCCATTTCTCAGTGAAATTACAATATGGGAGCAAAAGAGGAGCTTACTGTGGCTGGATCACAAACCTCCACCAAGGCTGAGGAAGTCTTTGAAATGTATTTGCATAAAAGGCCAAATACATATGGGTAAAAACTAACCTAAGGGTAAAGGGAGTTAGGCAGACAAGCTTGCCTCAATAAAAGAGATTTTCTGCAGGTATGCTCAGCTCCTTTCATCTATCAAGAGTCCGTATTTGTTCTCAGGAAAGAAAGGCTGTACAAAGGATTAGAGCTGCTTTTAGGAAGAAAAAAAAATCCATAATACTGGCATCTACATCTCAGCAGTCAGAAGTGTGAGCACAGGCTTGGTCTGTGTTAGTTCCTGGTAGACAAGCTGATTATCTGGAAGATGAAACAGTAATTGTCAACTAATAGCTAACTGAAATTGTTTAGGAATTGAATAGGATGTTCCAAGATCCCCAGAAGTTTCTTGGTAGGAGGAATGAAGAGGAACAAGGCCACACAAGGGGAACACAGGCCAGCCAGGAAAACAAGAATAACAGCCAATCACCCATTTGAGGGGAGGCTTGGGATAAAAGTCTCAGAATGCTGCATATGAGTCCAAGAATGCCAAAGCTTTGCTGTGTAAGAAAGTGCTTTTCTTAAAACAAAGGGAGGTCCAATGGTGACTGACTCTACAGAAACAATAAAGCCTCACACTCACGTTCATTTCTTTATGCAACAAATAGTCACCTCTGGTCTCATTCCATCTGGGTCCCAAAGAATGCCCCTACTCCAAGATCCTTTACATTTGAATCAGGTCACTTGCAGGAAAGAAAGGAGGTAGTAGGATGCAGATGATTTCACTATGCTCCCCTCTTCTCCTGGCTGCTGGCCTCACAACTCCCCCTGTCAGCATGAGGAGAAATGATTCCCATATAGACATTATGCACTATTTCACAGCTTAACCACTTAGCCACTGAATTTGGCCTGACCCTGCTTTCCAAGTACAGACATCCAGTTTACAATTATCTCTATTTCATTGCTTCTTGGCTTCTCTTCCTCCCAACTGGCAACTCTTGTACTAGCCCGAAGAAACAATGTTTTCCTCTTCACCCAGCTTCCTTTCCAGCCCAAGCCATGGGCCTATTCCACAGTGAGAAGGGCAGAGGCCCCTGGACTGAATTCACTGGGGCAGGCCCCTGACACACAGCCTCAGCTCAGGTGGCCTCTCACCCCTGCCCCCATCTTTCTGACCAGTCGTCCTCACCATCATCAATCTTGGACCTCGTGATCATTCTTCCTGAAGTCCATGTGTACCTTCCTGGCTGCAGCTATTTGGAGGCTGGACTGAAGCCCTTCTGATGAAGAGTCCAAGGACACAGCACCCAGCTCTAGGCCTTCTGTGATTGCCTGGCAACTAGAAAGCTGTGGTCTTCTAAGTGCAGCCCAGGGACCAGAAATAGTTGCCTCACCTGAGAACTTGGTAGAAATACAGTTTCCAGAGCCACATAAGGTGATCAATGTATTCTCATTCACTCAGGACTTCCTTGGTTTTAGTGTTGATGGTCTCACAACTTAGGACTCCCCCCTGATCCTGGGAAAATCAAGATAGTTGGTCAGTCTACTCTCACTCTATCCATCACTTGCTAAGTGACTAGCTCTGGAGGTGGGGCCCAGTGACAAGTATCCAACAAGCCCTCTAGGGGATTCTGATACATGCTCCATCAAGCATTAGAACTTCTAAACCCCAAAGGTTCTGGGCACTAAACTTGGGCCTGCCTAAATGCTGCCCTTTGTGTGACTCCGTGTCCTCTACCCTCTCCTGGTAGCAGGAAAGCCAACCTTGTCCTGCTGTCTGCCACATGAAGTCCAGCCAACCTAAACTAGCCCCAGGCAGCTCTTTCAGCTGTGGAGAATCTCATGTTCTGGCCAACCTATACAGCCCCACATTGCCTGTAGTTGGTGTTCTGGCCAGTGAGGGGGAGGCACTGGTTATGCCTCCTGTCTCTTTTGCACTTTAATTTTCAAGAAAATGAAGTTTTTCATTGTTTGGGAAGAGAGCCAGGTGGGGTAGTGGATATGGCTAGGTTTGGTATATGAAAACAGAGGGAGGAGGTAAGTGAGAAATCCAGACAGATGAAAGTATGAGAGGTATTGAGGGATGAAGCAGTCTAGAGGGAGATTCAAATAAGGCTGGGATGGGGAACAAGAACTGAAGAAAGTGTGGAAGAGAGAAGCTGACATGGGAGTGAGTGGAGAAAGAGTGTTCCTCAAAGTGCAGTCCTCCTGGACCAACATCAGCAGCCTTTGGGGTGTTCTGAAACTTGCAAATCCTCAGTCTCACCCCAAACCTACTGAATTAGAACCACTGGGAGTTAAGCCCATCTGTCTACATTTTCAGAAGTCCTCCCAGTGACTGTAATGCAGGCTATAGTTTGAAAACCATGGGGCTGAACAATTCTATTTCCCCAAGTAAGAAGCCCCAGTGGTAGGTTTGCCCCATGCTTATTATCTGCCTTGAACTTTGACTCAAAAGAGAGAAACAGAAATCCCTCTAGTGAGATCCACAAGCACACTGCCTCTAGCTCTTACTCTAATGACTTCCTGAGTCTGAAATGATGAGAACAAATGGCAATAGTATCTCCCTTGCACTCCATCACTCCCCTGACATTGGCAGCTCTAGCTAACTTATCCCCTTCCTG